CGATATATATGGAAACCTTGGTAAATACTAGATATATATATATATATTTGTGCATGTTGAAACCATACATATATCTAAACCTTTGTAAATACTAGCAGAAAATATTTCTCCACTGTAGATATTTTCCCTTAAGCTTGAGCAGTTGAGTAAAAGACTATAAACCAGAGGTTCGAGTTCAAATCCAGGTGGAGGCATAGAAATACATACCATATTTTCAACGTTAAAGGCCGCCCCAATTTATACACATCACAGCCTTTTTTCAATTTTTTCTATAGGATCCATCTTTTTTACGATATAAAAACCATTATATTGATTATTTTTTTAAGTAACAGAAGGCATTTTATCAAGATCATCAGAGAAACACTTAATTAAGTTTGCGAATGAATTTAGCACAAATAATCCTTTATTTTATTGATGTATTTCTAAAATTATTATGATCATTCAAAATAGATAAAACAACAAATATTGGACTTTGGTTTGGAGCCTTCAAAGATTGTCTACACACAGATATGGGGCCTGATTTTATGTAAGATTTACTCAAAAATCTCTCCACAAGTGTCTGTACTGTTAAATATTAATGAAGGTCCTAACATAATGATAAAATTCTTAATAGTTCCATAACATTTCTTCTTGTATTCAGGTTGTAAACAAGAATGGCTGTCATTATAGAATTTGACTTATTAACTGATAACCTATCAATCCCAGGGTGCAATAGGCTAATGTATTCTTGTGCCATGCCTGCTTGTATTTGCTATGAGTATACTGCGAAAATCTAGAAGATATTATGTTTGTGATTCATATTAAAAGGTTTGATTAGTTAAATCAACAAAAACGTCATTTCATTGCAATTTTCAAATCATCCTGAATATGATTGTAATAGTAAGGTTCTACACAGTCTGTTTGAGTCACAAACACTAGGTGGAAAGCTAGGTACTGGTAAAAAATGTAGTATAATCTCATTCTGGTATGCTACTTTTTTTTTCTCATTCTGCCGATTTCATACCTGACCAACTGCCTGATCAAGAGTCGTCCTTTTAATTATCGCTTTTAACATGTCTGTATCATAAATCTTACAAAAATCAATGAACCGTAAAATCAAGTACATCAAACCATTGTATTGGTGACACTGAGCAAGTTTCGTGAAAATCTGATGATTATTTCAGGAGTTGTGTTCACAAGGCTCCACTATGAGCACGCTACAGATACAAAGTTGAAAATGGCATAAATCTTACAAAAATCAACGAACCAAAAAGTCGCCCCTTCATGCACATCTACCCATTGTAGTTGTGACATTGAGCAAGTTTCGTGAAAATCTGATGATTGTTTTAGAAAGAGTTGCGTTCACAAGAAATGGACATATGGACGGACTTACAAATGGATAGACAGAGAAGTCGACGCCAATATACGACTACCTCTGGTGGCGTACAATAATAACTTCTGTTACATTGGTGCCCATGCTGAGATTCTGAAACAATACATTCATAGGCATTGCCATAACCCCTGAAAACTTGAGGACAAGTTCTTTCCAAAAGTGAAAGTATGTAACCCTGTTAAACACTAGCTTACCACTTGTTTAAACATATCTTCTCTTTAGTTTGATTGGTTGGTTGATAAGACAGAGGTCCTGGTTTCAAATCCTAGCAAAATCACTGAATTAAATAATGACCTTTGTTTAATATCTACCAGTGGACAGGCTTATCAATGCCAGATCCACACACAGTAAATATTGTAGAAATATGATGTCCTTTGTTAAGCTGGATGATTATTTCAAGAAGATAATTTTAGTGAAAGGTATACAAAAAAAAAAAAATCTTATCTTTAATTTATTTGTTTTAGGTAAAAGATTTTGTCATTCAAGAACAAAGTGCATTTCAAATTAGTATGCAGTCTAAGGGACTACACACAAATATACATTGGCAAGGCCAATAAATAAGTTTTGTGTATCTGGATTACTTCCGATACTGACATTAAACAGCCATTTACAGTCAATGTTTTTAATCCTTTTTTTTACCAAATTTTTATGCAAGTCAAGATCCATCCACTATATAGCTGTGTCTGTATAGAAATATCTTCTGAAATAAAAATGTTCAAATACCATTCTGCCCTAACTTATTTGTACTGAAATCATACACTGAATGTTTATGTCTGACAGACATGTGGATTTGAGTGACAATGACATACTTGGTATATATATAATGTGGAATGGAGTGACAGATGAAATATATCCTAGAATTATTCATTAAAAGGATAAGGTAAAATAGACAAATTTAAATTATCACATCACTGCTTATCAACAGGACTTGTGTTAGACTTTGCCTTTTAAACTGTGACTTAATTCTTTCCTGATCATCAATTTTCTACATTTGAAATAGCAAAACTGCTGTATTTATCTTACAGTAATATCTTATCCTATTCAGTAAAATTGTAAAGTAATGCTGTTTCATAGTCCTGTTCACTGATAGACTTGAAGTAAGTTGACATGTGTTGGCCCCTTGGGTTTAATCCAGGTTAACTATGGTATTTATAGTACTACAAGCTGCATCAATCTTTATATGTATATATATATATATCTGTTTGATACTGTGGCTTACAGGATAGAGGTCTATGGATATCGGATGTATCACTTTTTACTGGTAGTATGATACACTAGATTAATCCACTTAAATCTATAAAGTTTGATAAAGAGGATAACTCTCAAATGAAATTAATTCAACACAGCTATTTAAGTGATAAGCAAAAAGTCAGGATCCATATCAAAGATGGAAAAATGAAAAATAAAGAAATATATTTTATCACATTATCAGAATTGTTTACAAATATTCATGAAAATAGATGTATATAGGACAGTAGTGATTTCTAACACAGATGCATGTAATATTTTTAAAAAGCCATCTCATTTCTTGACAATTTTAAACATTCTCATTATGTTCTCAGTCACAATTACTGTTACAACAATAAACTTTTTATCAAATTTGATTTAATGGAATCAATTAAAACCAAACAGATAGAGCCACAATGATTCATTGTGTATCAAGTTTTCAATCACCTGATAATTGATTATGACAATGTCATTAAAATTTTATTTTACATTTGAACAATCATATAAATGGATCATTTTAATTTGTAGAACAATTTATTATCCTAAGTATTTCAAATCATATCAATTTGGTGATGCAATTTGAATTATAAGGACCATGGGATCAGGAATGTTATAAAAAAATGGCATCTTCTATTGTCGATCATCTATATCAAAAACAAAAACTATGGGGTTCCAGATAACACTACTGTGGATATGGGATTCTTCACCAAATTCAATGACCAATTTTAACGGTGAAAAATTTTCACCATTACTTTGTATTATCCCTTTGGAAATTAATGAAAACAAGACATAGATGTATTAAAAATTTCTATTAGCTATATAATTTTACAATACCTGGGGGCGGGGGGTGGGGGGGTAGATGCATTTTACATTGCTATGGTATCAATATGTATAAAGGAACATTTAACTGGTTCTGTTCTCTTAGTCACCGTATATCACGTGCACTATTAATTCAGAAACTCGGTTACATGTGCCTTGTGGTCATACCTAGTAGAAATCATAAGAGTGAAGTGTTCATGTGAGTCTATTTCATAAGCTTTAAGTATGTGAATCATGTCTTATTAGTAATTAGTGTCACTCAGTGAAAGTACAATTTTTATCCTAAAATATAAGTTCTGGGAGCAAACACATACTTCTAACTCAAAGTCAGTGGTGGGCTTTTATTAATGTTGTACTGATGATCGGTGAGGATCGATTAACGACGGTTTCATGTCCTCCGATGCCGATCATCGAATATTTTTCATATAATCGATCATCGGCATATTCTCTTCCGAACGCACCCTTGGACAGTTGGAGTGGTTATCGAATGCACCCACACTAAAAAGCACATGTTCACAACACCATCTTGCTTATTTAAAAATGGCAGACAGTAATGGTGACATCGGAGATGTGCAGGGGCCTATCCCTGAGTTATATCCACATCCCGGGGGTAAAACTAAATCCGAAGGGTGGAAGTATTTTGGATTTTTGAAAAAAAAAAAAAATGAGCCTCCTATCAAGTCAAATTTAGAAATGACTATTTTCTAAACTTCAAACAGAAATGATTGGTCGAATCACACAACTAATTCATCAAAGGAAATGAGAATAAAATCGGGTGCTCTTGAATGGTATACTTGCATTTCCTGCTCCTGTGCTCCATACCATTTGATAGAGAAATTATCAAATATGAGAAAATGTCATGATTACCAAAAGGCTAATGACAACAAAAGATCTTGCTACAACTTTAATAAAGCTTAAAATAGTGTGTAAACCTTCTCTGCCTTTGTGTGTTTATGTAATTGTACTGTTAGAAGCTAGTACAGGCTTCAGTAAAATCAATTTTAGATTATTAACAAATTATTTTATCAGTTATCAGATAGGTTTGTCTTTCCGATTCCAACCGATGATCTGTTACAAAATTTATCCGATTATAAAACACTAGCTTTTATAATTACAGTCAAATGTGAAAGCTTTGATAGATTATTACTGGGCAGAAATATCTTATTGGTGAGTTTATGAATAGGCATATATAGGCTTACTGTTGGATAAATATATTTTAGCATAACTGAATTTTACTGCAGCTTGTAATATACTGTATAAGTTTATAAATGGAGTTTGCTTAAAATTGAAAGAGTTTTTTCTTTTCTTTTTGGAAATTGATATAAATCTATGGTCAAGAAACAGGTCTTTAAAGTTTAGACCTTAAAACAGCAGGTTTCCTTTACCTTAAAAATGTGTTATTTTTCAAAACACATTGGCATGAAGATCCTTATCAAGAATATCTGTCTTGATATCTTAATTTTGCTTAAAAAAGTACAATATAATGTTATATACATTTCAAAACATGAGGAAACTCCATCAAAAATGATAATAAAAAAAATTCTGCTGTAGACTTTGCTGAACGATTCCTACTGTGACTTACCTCTCTAATTTGTTTCCAAGTTCTTCAGACGAGTCTTGTTTTACTACATTAAACAGATCTTCTACTTCTAATCTTCTTTTGTATCCTGTAGTGAAAGTCGGGTTAAGCCACCTGCAATATTGAAATATATTAGCATTCATTATTTGAAACCAATCCTGAGGCAATCAGTCAAATGTTTCACTCTCATAGGCTCACAGTTTATTTCTAATGACTACAGCAAATAAATACCCTACATTTCATCCTACAATTAAAACAGGACGCAACACAGAAAATCTGGCTAAAAGTCAGGATTGGAGTCGATAGTAAGAAAATGAAAAAGTACTTGTTCAATTATTTCTCTGAACAGTGATAGATATGAATGGATTCTTTAATATGGTTTGTATATCACTATAGCTTTACTTAAAAATGGCTGAAAGTGCCTATATCCCATATTATCATGCATCATGGGTGGATAAATTGATCATTTTGCGGTATGGGAACTAAAAAATGAATTGATTTCTCAAGCCCTGGTCTGGTTAGTCAAGGTTTAAGGGTATGACATTCATGATCCATGCTAACAAAGAAAAAAACATTGCTATTCTTTGCCAAACCCTTCTTAAACATATTACCTTATTAAATGCTGTTACATGAACTCATTCTACAAACCTGTAATTTTCCATACATAATGTAGATTGCATTTACCACAGGACATCAAATATTTTTCGGTGTGGTGTTTACCTTTTCACCGAGCCTTTCCACTTGAAAATTATCCTAAAAACAATTAACTTTGTGGAAAGTTTAGTATACCAATAGTTCGGATAAGGAAATCGAAACAAAAACCTGCAGTACACGAGCGCTGACAAGTTAAATATCAACTCATTTTTGTATGTAAAATAAGAAATTCTGTCTTCAGATAACTTTTGCACGAGTTTCGTAACTGCAATGTATCTTGAAATTTAAGGATATACTAAATCTTACCAAAAGAAAATCTTAGATATTGGATTTGCCGTGAGCAATGGATTAGGATTGTGGTGTCGTATTGTTTCGTCCATATTCGAAGTGCCATGCAAATTCCTCGCATTAATGTAGTTCTCTTCTCATCCCCCGCCGTTCGCTGACTGAGCAACTAAAGTATCACAATCCTAACAGAGTAATAAAACGAAATGGAAAGCGGATGTAATATTCCGGAATTCTGGATTTTCCCACATAGTGGTGCGTTCGATAAGAAAACGTTTCAAGTCGTTATGCAATAGGTTTAAAAATAACACACGTTAGAATGATATATCGACCTAATCTAGTCAGGGAGACGTATAGCATACGCTGTATCAGACATCAGGTCATTCCCAGATATTAAAAGAAAGCGGTTTCGTTTCCTGCAAGGAGAAATCCACTTTGCTATTTATATTGTGGTGCAACACAGACTTCTAACAAAAAATGGCTGGACCGACTTTTCGTAATTTTGACTTTTAATTCAGAATCGATAAAAAATGATACAAAACTTGTTTTTAAAAATGCGAAAAAGAACTTGAAAAGTAGAGGAGGAAAAAGGCCTGATGTTCCTTAATGTTAATTAAAGTCTCCTGGTTAATTTATGCAGAGACGTATGTGTTATATACGTCTCTGATTTATGACACCCGTATGTATACATATATAAATATATATCAAGGAAAATATAAGAATGCGAGAACTTGTAAATAATCTCGAAAACTGCATGTCCATCATCTTCGAAACTTCAGGGATTACTAACACTATCGCATCGCACATCGTCAGAACATTGGTTTTCGTCGATGAAACGATATCCGACAACGGGAGGAGCCGCGGGGACAGAAAACCTATAATTTACTAACCTTTGCTCTATGCAGAAAGTTACAATCAGGGGTTACAATGGCTTTCGCTCTGTGGTTTTAACGTCTGAAATATCGAGGGCGTATGTCCATTAATATATTATTTTAACGAGATATGTATGACCAGAAACAAACTTGTGTGACCTTATTCTCCATCGGCGTGTGTCCCTTCATACATAAATATATAAATTTGTTGAGAATTCGTAACAATCACCATAAATCTATGTACATGGGAATGTTAAGCATGGTGTTGTCACAAATGTTGAAAAACAATCTGCCATGAAATGACGTTGAAGGCATATCATTGTTTTCTGTTTGTACTATTTCTCATAGCTGTGGTGAATAAACAGATGCACACTGTTGGAGGGGAAATCGTTGGTGGTTTCATTTGAAATTGTTTGTGGTTTAAATGGTTGTTGATTGTTAAAGGTTTAGGTTTACATACTGGAAAAAACATTAGAGAATGTGAGAGAATGTAGAGAGGACCACATATATCGTTTAGGTTTACATACTGAAAAAACAGTGGAATATTTTTTTAAAATGAAAATATGGATTAGAAATGGTACCAAATTGAAATAATCTAATAATATGATAGATCTATTGTCACTTTAAACAAACATATCAAATTGGTCTCACGAACGAGAGAGAGAGAGGGGGGGAGGGAGAGAGAGAGAGAGAGAGAGAGAGAGAGAGAGAGAGAGAGAGAGAGAGAGAGAGAGAGAGAGAGAGAGAGAGAGAGAGAGAGAGAGAGAGAGAGAGAGAGAGAGAGAGAGAGAGAGAGAGAGAGAGAGAGAGAGAGAGAGAGAGAGAGAGAGAGAGAGAGAGAGAGAGAGAGAGAGAGAGAGAGAGAGAGAGAGAGAGAGAGAGAGAGAGAGAGAGAGAGAGAGAGAGAGAGAGAGAGAGAGAGAGAGGACATGAGGATGAATACTACTGTATGTAATAAACACAAACTAACTTGTGTTGTTGTGATCCACGTCAGAAATGGTATATATACTGTAGGTAACGTGTATAAGGTCACTGTTTTTGTTTATGTTTTTTATTTATTTGTTTCTGAATTATCTGGGTTTTTTTTAGAATTTTTAATACCACTGAAATAGCTATCGTATTTGGTATGTAAGGTTAAACTACAGAATATTATTATATATAAGTTTTACACTAAAATATCCTTGAAATTTTAATCCATATGAAAGAGTAAGTCACACTTACTAAGACTCCTATCTCTAAATTACGGAGTACCATTTCCACTCCGTATCACAACGAGAATGTCCGTCTAAATTCTTTATCTAAAAAATTGTTTTTATAATTCATTTTATCAGCAAACTCCATTCCAAGCCATTTTTCTCGCAACAAGTTTTTAATCATTAAAAAATGGACGTTATCGCTAGTCAGAGCGAATTGGTTAGCGATGGAAAACAATCCATATACTAGTTTCCCAAAATAAATATACATACACGTATAATCATCATGAATGGAAATCAATTAAACATAAATTAATTACAATTAATTAATGAATTAATTACATCATGTAAACAATATTCAGATGCAACCGTGCCTGCGTTTGACTCACAATTCCTACAATACATTGTTCTATTAAAATAAGGCTGAACCAGAGTTTAAATCCATTCATATACATCCCCTTCTTCGTCCCCACGTCTTGTTTCCTTAGTTACGATTTTTTATTCGAGTTTTAGCGAGATTTACAGATCCGCACGGTTCCATTTCCGTACTCCCTGTTATATATGTATAGATTCAATGCTGAATCCTTTAAGTGCTTGAATTGAATAACCAAGTTTCAGGCAAAGCGTTAACTTGACACAGGCACCGGTTTTCCCCAAGAAGTCTTCAGAAGTCATCATGGACCAAATGATAAACGATGTTGTTGATTCTTACGATTTAAAGGTATAATTGTCGATACGCTAACTTCAAGATCGCCTTAGACATAAATTAATTTTACAATGGATGTGCTTCGTTGACCTGGTATTAGAATCAATTTCAGAGGCTGTTTGTTTTTTTTCCGGATGACCTTATTTCAATTCAACAAGTCAGCTGTCATGATCAGACATCAGACCTACCTATTCCCAATGTCATATCATGAATAACACCTTGATGATACCAAGAATTCCACAATCTCAGAAATAGCTAAGGAGAAAAAAAATAAAAAAAAACAGTGTTTCGCAGATTATAGATATCTGAGTTTATGGTTTCCTATGTCATACATACTGATCTAAACACAGGGCACAGCTGTATAATACAGGCAGATCGATATTGTAATGATTATAAAACATTATTTTTTGCAGGATTTTATTTTCTGGTAAGACCAGAACACCATTTTTAAATTGTTCATGGTTTCTTTTAATTTGCATTTGCAAAGAAAGATAATGGGCACTCAAACTTTTGAGTTCCACAGGAAAAACATGAGTCTACAGGACTCAAATTTTTGAGTCCCAAAATTCACTACAGTGAGCCAATGACATAAAAATTCAGTGAAACAACAAAGCTCATTGTCCAGTAATAAGCCCATCTTCTGACTTTGAGTAAGAAACTTATGTTTTGAACCTTTTTGTTTCTTGCAGGATAAATAAATACATTTATAGTTTTTTTTGATAAATCCATTTCTTACATGATACATAATGAGATGTCTGATAAATCCATTTCTTACATGATACAAGTTGAAAAAAGGATGAAATGAAAAATTTTCCTGTCTTATCTAACGCTCTGTTCTATTTTCAAACTTTTGATTTCTGCTGGTGATAGCATTGGTGCTTTCAGCTATTGATAAATACCAATTGTTGTAATTTCAGAAATATGAGATGATGTACAATGACCAATTAAGGAGAGGCCAGGTGAGTGAAAAGGCCCAATTTGAGTATGCCTGGTGTCTGGTTCGTAGTAAATACCTAGACGACATGAAAAAAGGAGTTGCACTCATGGATGGTGAGTATCACAGATAACTCAGTGTGAGCCAGAATAACTTGATGTTCTCCTTACTCTGTATTTACTTTCAATTTACTTTAGCTTATATATATATGTAGACATACACATGTGACCTGAATTATCTTTCATATTTCATGCACTAAAACATATTGACCCTTTATTTTAGCTATCATACGGATTTGTATACCTGTACATCTTGTCAATTACATATGATCGCTACATAAATGTGACCTGAATTATCAGTTATATTTTAAACACTGTACATATTCACCACTAGTGCTAGTCAGTCAGTAGTTTGTTTTGATCTGTGTGTCCATGAATAACTACAGAAGTAATGGTAAATATAATAATAATATTAATTTTGAAGGGACCTGGCCATAGGGGCACCTCTTTACCAACACACAAATATTTACAGCAACTTTCAAAACATTAAATGTTGGTTTCATTGGAATGCATATATTGTTTTTCTACTTTTGATGGGATAAAAGTCTAAGGTCCTGTATTGTTATTTGGATATGTGTTACACTTCTAACTTTTGCATAGAAATCATCAATATTAGGGTAGAAATATTCAGTATTAGAGAAGTAATCATCAGTTATACAGTAGAAATCGTATTAGAAAAGAAAGTGTGTTTTTAGAAAAGTGTTACAAAATATAGCTTCATTCAGCCATTGTCATTACTCTTGTTTTGTAACAAAAGAAATCTGTAATAATACAGTATAAGTCTTCAAATTAGAGTAAAATCATCTTATTAGGGTAAAAATCTCCAATATTCAGTATCAAAAGTAGAAATATTCAATATCAAAGTAAAAATTGTCAGTATTAGAGACAAAATTGTCTATATTAGGGTTGAAATCATCTATTTTAAAGAAGAAGTTGTCAATATCCATTGGCTATTTACCACATATATCTGTAACGAGGCCTTGGGTCCAACACCCTGTGTACAGCTCTTCGTTAGGGATGGATGGATTATCAGTTATTCTGTTTAGTTAGGTAAATAATGTCAGACTTGATTATTATCAGTTTATTACTGGACAGATGAACGACATGCTTTCATGACGGTTTAATCCTAGTATTTTAATGTTTAAAATATTTGTCTGTTTCAGATTTATTTAAGAATGCCACAGATGATACAGCTAGAAGAGACTATTTATTTTACATGTCTATTGGCTATACACGCATCAAGGTAAACATCACCTAAAGGAGCTGATGCTTTGTTTCCCTATACATGACATTATGAAAAATGTTGTGTTCTGACACCAGATTTGTATACTTTAAACTTTTTAGTTTTTCCTATCTAATGATATTTACGTTGGCTGGCAATGAAAATATCAAACATACTATAGTAAAATTGATACAGATCTAATTCTCAAGGGCATCATTAAGACTGGTTCCTTCTTTTTGTTTTTACTGTTGTGTTTCTCCAGCAATAAGCCCATGTGTGGTAATAAGTCCACCCATATATATATTGGTAAAGGTATGCCAACAAATACTATTTCAATGCCTTGTAATAAGTCCATCCCCTTACTTTGAATCAGAGGTAATGTGATTGTCACTTTGGCTTATTGCTAGATAGATATGTACATTTGTATATTTATGTATTGTTAAGAATATCCTCAAGCCTTGACATATGTGAAGGCACCACTGCAGATAGATATATTTACATATTGTTAAGAGTATCCTCAAGCCTTGACGTATGTGAAGACTCTATCATAGATAGATATATGTATTTATTTATTGTCAGAAATATCCTCAAGCCTTGACATATATGTAAAGACACCACTGCAGATAGATATATTTATATATTGTTAGGAGTGTCCTCAAGCTTTGATGTACATGAAGACACTAATGTGGATAGATATGTTTATATATTATTAGGAGTGTCCTCAAGCTTTGATGTACATGAAGACACTAATGTGGATAGATATATTTATTTATTGTTAGGAATATCCTCAAGTTTTGATGTATGTGAAGACACTTCCATAGATAGATATATGTATTTATTTATTGTCAGGAATATCCTCAAGCGTTGACGTACGTGAAGGCACTCCTGCGGATAGAACCAGGTAACCACCAAGCACTTCAGCTCCAGGAATATATCAACAGTAAAATGAAAAAAGGTCAGTTTTTTATTTCTTTTGTCCACTGAGGTTGTTGTGAATAGAATTGCAATTTCAATATTTTGATAAATTGGAGATCATATTTTATTTACGTCTTTTTTCTAACATGATGTGATAGATCTTACAATGGTAAACAATTTTGTGGAGTAATTTAGGAGTTAATGGCTCTTCTCCCTGAAACTACTTATATATAACCTATTTCACAATAGTCATTTGTAAATGTATATATAACCTATTTCACAATAGTCATTTGTAAAAGTATATATAACCTATTTCACAATAGTCATTTGTAAATAAATATATAACCTATTTCACAATAGTCATTTGTAATTGTCTCCCAAGAAGTAAAAAAATTATCTACTTTTGAACTTCAGAATAAATTTTTTGTGTATTTTTCAATGATTAAAAAGGTGGTATCACTGCTGTAGGTTTTGCCATTTTTATCCAAATAGCCATTTTTTCCACAGCCCTTTGAAATATTTGTTTTCAGAATCTAATATCAGGAAAAGAGATTCAGATATTTGAAACTTTGAATTGATTTTATATTGAATTGCATCCAAAACAACATGAAAAAGTACCACCTGAGCATTGATCTATTAATTTTACATTGAATCATACAATTTCAGGAAACTGATGTCATAAGATAGCTTTTCTTCTTCTTTACAGAGGGACTGATGGGTATAGCTATTGTAGGAGGAGCAGCTCTAGCACTAGGCAGTCTGGTCGGATTAGGCGTGGCCCTCGCCAAGAAATGAAGACTCTTATGAACATCATAATTTAGTATGCTATATTTATATAATCATATATGGACATAATGGAGGACAGTGATACCAAATATGGATAACATAGCCATATAAGGACATGTTTATTAAACGTTATAATTATATGGTGAATATTCACAAATTAATGTGATGAGATTTTTTATATCATGTGATAAGGAGATAATGAGCATGTTCAGATAAGGAGAAATGGTCACTATAAGTGTGTGATGACATGGTTAGTTAATGGTGATGACCTGATGGAGAAAGTGGATGCTTTAATTAGCAAACATAAATATATCAAGACCATGTTACCACGACACCCAAATCAGATTGTTGTATCTGATATTAATATGGTATTACCCAAATAAGGACATCATGCTGTTATCAATAATTGAATGAGTTAATTCACCTCTGATAGGTTTACTTGCAGTATGTCATGATCATAACTAGATGAGGGAGGTTTACAATAGAAAAACTTTGATGTGTAAGGCTTTGCAAATATAAAAGAAAAAATTGCTTCTGAATATGTTCAGGAATATCTATTTAGGAAAATTATACCATGTCAGCTGTTGTTAAGCAGGGTTTCACTTCTTAACTTCAGTGTTTTTCTTTTCTTTTTTTGAATTTTGGGTCTAGAGTTACCTCCCTTGTTGAGATGTGTCACTTATTGCGATGCTACTGCTTTACATTCTCAATACCTGGGTTGCAACACTAGTTGAATGACTTCCCTCGCCATGGCTTGTCGCTTACTCTGCTACTTGTGTTGTAAATTCTCAGTTCCTCAATCACACTTCTTGTTAAGTGTAGATTCAGTAGTGCTTAGAACCTAGCAGTTTGTTTCACTCATTACTTCTAGAATTGAAATTATGAGGATACATGTACTGTTGAATCTGTTTATCTGTCAGCCTGTAGAAGTTATCTTGTCTGGACAGCTACACACTGATGCTCTGTTGACACACATATTTTACTTGCAATCTTATTAAAGTGCTTCTTCTGCAAAGTATGACATTAAAATATAACAAACTTGCCATAAAGTGAAGGGTTTAACTGAGATTGTATTAAACTAAGGTGATGATTGTTACACTTTAAAAGTATACAACTGCATATTTTATGATCTAAATCTTTCTATTTTGGTTGATCGTTAAATTAATTTCAGTTATAACGCTACTAGATATTTTGTATAAGCCTTTCTCGAAAATCATCACATGATAAAGCAATATATTGCAGTGTTAGACTTTATTTCAGCACTTTTCACAGATATTTGTTAGTAAAGAAAAAGGGAGATAATAAAAGACACATTGAAATGTGTAGATTGTAGATTTAATTATCTTCAGCAACATACAGTTAACACAATAATTGTGTTAATATGAGAGTTTTGTTTTATCTAATTAAATCAGCTGTAATTCCTTGAGAATTACTGCTTGGTGAATGTTTGTGGAATACTTTTTATTGTTTTGTTTTTTTATTTTTGAAGTGTTCTCTTAGTTACACCTGCAATCATATTCTTGTTTGTATGCTTTTATCTTGATGGTTAGGTGAGTTCATATAATTAGGGTAACTTTAAATAGGACCAATATTGCTACTAAAGGTATGTGATTTTAACATTAAGTGTTCTCTGTGATTCTTTGATGATACCTCATTCTCTCTATCAGTCTCGCTCCGATCCTCCAGTCCTGTACTTCATCCGAAATCATCCAATCTGGGAGATTTTCATGTTGCTTTGTTAGGTCAAATTACTCGTATATTTTCGTGATAAGTAAATGAAGTCTTTAACCAACAAGATCCAAATTTCCTACAGGACATTCATTGTTGAGCTGTCCTATACAAAAGGTACTGTAATTGGTCTCTTGTGTCAAATTGTACAGAGTTGTAGAACCTTTGTTTATGGTATTTTATTGTAATTTGGTCATTCCTATATATGTATCTCATATACAATGTGATAACAGTGGTACCTAAATGTAGTGCCTGTTTATACAGGTGTCAGATTTATTCAAGGTTCTGTCATATATCTCTTTAGAAATGAAGAAGTTTACTTAAAATTTGAATATGCAAAATAGAAGCAGTACATTTGATTAGTTTCTCTTTTTAAAAGTGAGGAAAGATGGCAGTATTTAGGTGCCAGTGTGTCTGCCTTATATTCTGTAAAGTTCTGGAGTGTTAGAAAAGAATCAGTCAAAATTATGTCTGTCATTTCTGTGTTTGGCACCTGATTTTTAGCTCCTTTAACAGTACCAGGAACCAACTGTCTTTGATAATATAGCTACTGACTTAAATGATTGCTACACCACAAGTTTGTGGCTGTTAACTTTTCTCAAAGACTTTATCAGAAATATAATCATGGCCTGTAATTCCATTCTTAATTGTCAGCAATTGTCTCATAAAATAGTATAAATCATGAAATTCATGAGTAAAAAGCACACAAGAGATTGTTGGTTTAAAGTGTATCTTCTGTTAGGGTTTGAAGTGCGTTAAATGTTGATAATTTATAGTGTTATTCTTTGGATTGCTTCTGATATGTTTTGTCCAATGCAGTTTAGGGTTGGTTGCCATGCAGGTATTCATGTTTCCAACCATCAGGTATTGTCCCCTTTCTCTCTCTGAAACTCACCAATCAAATGTTTCTCCACTCCTCTTCTGATGATGTTCTGTTTCACGTAGTTTGACAATACTACACACCACATTGAGATTGGGCATATCAGTTACAAGATGAGTCCTATGGATATTGTCCTCAGTCCTGGGTTCTCCGAATCTTCACTATGGTGTACAAGTTAGAATTGTGCTTTCTCATGTAAGGTATAATATTTGATGATGGGATTGCCTGTACTTGTAAGATAGCATCTAAGCTTACATTTGTTTAGAGAGAACTTTTGTAATGACCTTCATTACCCGTGTAATATGTGCAATGTGTTGATAATACAATGACTATGGACATGATTATGAACACCAAAATTATGTGTTAGCTTCAATAACCATTTAATTTTGTTTCTGTGAAGTCTGTTGGATTTCTAGAGAGGAAAGAGTATAGATCAGTTGTTTGTCTTTATGTTAAGAAGTTTTTTGTTATCAATAAAATATGTCAATAAAATTTATTGTGTTCTAGACTTTTCTTTAACATTTAAGGCACAACATTATATAACGACTCTGAACCAATGTATAGAAATGTCTGCTCCTCTCGATGGTTATGATCTTATGAAAGACATAAGCGCTCAACATGTGTGATATATACAACAAAGACATAGAACAACTTATATCGTCACAAAGTTTATGGAGATGACTTCAAAATGTTTTTGACCTCGCCTGTCTGAAGGGTCAAGCTGCCATGACTACCATCTTGAAAAACATATTCTAAACTTCTTTTTCAGTTTCCAGCTGAAATCTGGTGGGGTATTTAGAAAAGGAATCTAACAAAGTGTTATTTTTGGCCTTGTTCAAAATTCATCTACAAGGCAAATCCATTTTAGGACATGATTGATTAATCATGGTTTCTCAGAGCAACACCCCCTTAAAAAGTTTGACCAGTGGGATTCAGCTCGAACTTGCCTGAAATGATACTGAGATGGTCCTAACCATATGCTGCTATTATCTGGGATGGTCCAAAATTCAAGATGACTGACACCTCAAAAAACACATTTGAAACATTATTTTCATTTGTTAATAGTAAATTTTTATGCGCTGCCGGAGGCGGTCGTATATTGGCATCATCTTCTCCATCTGTCTGTCAGTCCGTCCATCCGTCCGTACGTCCATTTCTTGTGAACGCAACTCCTCCTAAACTAATCATGAGATTTTCATGAAACTTGCTCAATGTCAAGACTACATTGGGTAGATGTGCATGAAGGGGTGATGTTTTGGTTCGTTGATTTTTGTAAGATTTATGATACTGACATGTTAAAAACGACAATTAAAAGGACCAATCTTGATCTTTATATTTTGTGGCAGCGTATATTGTGTCCACGGCACTCTTGTCAATATTTGTTTGCATTTTTAAATTTGTTTTGATTGTGTCAATATTTATTAACTTAACTAACAATAATGGTGAAATATGTGATACCTGTTTCCCATATAATCCAAACTAGTTAAATGTTTAATGAAGTCTGTATATGTTAAAAGTCCATGATGAAAGTATGGTTGAAATCCAGTCATTGTTTAGATATGTTGAAAATAGTTAATGAAAACAGTCATCGCAGAGTGTAGTTTAATCTTTTAATATCAATTATATACCCTAAACATGGAAACAATTGATAAAAATATATGACAACCATGCCATTAAAATTCTAAATTTCAGGTAGTGAGCTGTGTACTAGCTCAAGCAAAAGCCCAAGCAAATGGGTGTCCCGCCAATGGAGAACAACCTTCCAGCTCTCCAGATCAGTTTGTTCAGATGTTAATAGTAAATACTGGAAAATGTTATATAACATAGTAAAGCATTGCAACATACACTAGAAACAAAGCAATCAATAATGCCTCTAGATACATGTACATTTTATAACACATTGGCTAGTAATACTACAGATGTTTTTGACAGAACCCGGTGGCCATGTTGTAAGCTAGTCTTCAACTATATAGTCATTGGGCCTTTATTCCTTATGCATTAATGAGAAATATATTTACTAGCTTTTTCAAATAAATCAATTACTTAAAAACGACATAATAATGGTTTATGTGTCCTAATGTGAAAATTGACCTAAAATTACAAAAAATAATTTAATATCAAAAACAGACTGGTGAATTAAATGACTTATATAATTCATATATAAAAAGTAGTATAATAATAGACTATTGTAAACTGCATGATTGCATAAATTAATCAGTTACTGAAAAAAAAAAACATGTGAAAATGCCAAATATGACTGGAGTTCATACAGTATCATAAAATACTTGTGATATTAGTCTTCATTACAGATTCATTATTAGAAATGCATTTTATGTTTTTGGATAATTAGGTCATTTTATTTCTGTAAATGCACAAAATAAACTATAATATTATCAGTATTATCTATAAGAAATGTTAATGTATTATGGAAGTAAAAAGATATATATTACCCGAAAAAATATTTTCAAAAAAATATAATTTGAAGAAAACAATGTAGATATACCTACTACTTGTAAAAATCACTAGACAAGAAATGCATTATACATGTAACAATAGTTGTCAAAAGAACAATGTTAATAATTGGATATGCATATTTACCTCTGTATGAACTTTTTCATTTTATAACACTGAGTTTAATAAAAATGTTAATAGTATGCTGTGTAATTACAATTACAAATGATGAAAAATAACGAAAGTACTGAATCTGACGTACTACCGTCTTTTCTATCAGGGATGATTCTTTAAACACTATAAGGCTGAAGATAGATGATGAAAAATAATCTTCATAGAGTTCCTTGTAAATAAATATTTTGATGCTTAAGATGAAAAAAAAGAGTTAATGTAGATTGCCCCTGCATTATAACTGCTTCAGATCTAATTTCCATATATCAGCGTGTTGTAAAGGTGACAGATACATAGCATATGGTAAAGTATTAATAAACATTTAAAACCCCACCATCGAGAACTAGAAGACACTCACAGAAATTGTGGAAGAAATATTGTAAACTTGATATACCAAAATATATGGACACAGAGGTATTGTGTACCTTCATTCATGAATCATCTTATTAAATTCAGCAAGTTTTTCTAAAGAGACAGTGATAATAAACATAAATCATCAAAATCAAAGATCTCGACAAAAACGGGATGGAGTAGAACCTACACATCAAGTTTCAAATCTATCCTTCAAGCGTTTCTTGAGAAATAGCAATAACAAACTTCAAACTCAAGACTGCCACCTGTCTACCATTTTTGTTCTCCCAATCAAACTCAAAAATGAAACAGGCATAACTAGGGCAAAGGGAAACATTCCCATCAAGTTTGAGAAATATCCTTCCAGTACTTCTCGAGATATACTGAAAGCAAATTTCCGCAGTGGATGGAGGTCAGTTACCGTATTTCTCCGGCAATAAGCCCATGCTCGGTAATAAGCCCACTCCCCCTTTCTGCCAACTCCTATGCACAGGGGGGATGTCCGGTATTAAGCCCACCCCCATTTTTGACCTCAGCCGACCTGTCCCGGTCGGAAGACTTACCGATCGGGAGAATGAACTGAGCAAACTGAACTGTTATTCTGTCGATGATTGAGATGCACACCATATATACTTCAAAAAAGATAAAAGTTTTTTGTATCGTATATATAAAAAATCAAAACATTAACATGGCAAATAAAATCGTTTGAAATCGCTAACGTTTTCTGGCCTTGTGGCCATCTTCAGGCTTTTGAATTACTTGTATATATACATTTGATCATGGTAAAACAACTAATGAAGGAAGACCGTTTTTGACTCATGCCTTAACTGTGCCCAAACTCACAATCTCTGGCACTAAAAAACCTAACCAAGAAATTTGACAACTGCCTAACCAACCACTCCACCCTGACATCCCCAAAAAAGGATGATTGGAAGTTGTACTGATAGATAGCTGGAAATTCTTGACATCATCAAAGTGGCAAATTTTGTATTATGTGAAATGAGCAACTGGATTGCAATGTATATATATACATTGTACATGGATACAAATTTTACTTAGGATAAATAATAAACACAGTTAAAATTTTGACAAGATCAACATACATAACTGTACATTTTGGCCAATATATGACAAAATATAGATATATATTAGTTATTCCAAAGACTGGTGTATCTTTTCTATGTTTTCCTCAATCTCCAGCTGTTGCATTTTCTCTTCATGGTTTACAATTCTTTTTACAAGAATGTCCACCAAATTGTCTTCTGCATCTGCAAAGAAAAGCATAGTTCGTCAAAAATTAAGAAGTTATTTTTTGTTGGTAATTAATTAAAAAGAACCAAAAATAGCATGCAACATACATCATCATATTAATTTTGGATTACGACTATTGTAAATTCTTACCATCATACAAAATGACCTCACATCTATTGTTAATTTTGAACAATGACTTTGAATAAATCTTACCATCATACATGATGACCTCACAGCTATTGCTAATTTTGGATTTGACTACTTTCTGAAGTTGGATGGCAAACAGATGAACTTGTTCCTCCATAAGTTGTTTACTAAGTCCAGCGATCAGGGACTGATGCATGCTGTAGAGAGTTCGTACAGGGGAGGCAAATTCTCCAAGGAAATAATACTGTTTACCATTGTCCTGTATAAACATAACAAAAGACTTGATTTTTTGGACTGATAAATGTGCTTTTCAGTTAAGTTTACTGTGGCTTACATACATAAGAGCAGAACTCCTACCAGTTAAGGTAGAAAGTCTCATTATTTGTGGTGTCTATTTTACATATCTAGTGACACTGCATCACACTCCTGTGGATATTATATATAGTGAAGACAAACTATTGAAAATTATGACTGTCATTAGAAACTGACTTTACAAAGAAGCTATGAAATTTCAAGTGAAGTTATTTTCCCATTAAATTTTGTAGTGTACATATTGAATCCACACAAATGTACCTCAGTGCACTGACATACAATCTATAAATAAGATAAGACTGTGTTTTTCTTGTAAACTATATTAATTGTCATCGGTAAAAAAACAATGGAAATCAAAAATGAAATAACTATTCCTTAATCTGTGCTTATTCAATTTGAACGTTGATTGGTCAGTTGACTTTCTGTTCAATCTTTATGATACTATACCAAAATATTTTCTTGGCACGATATACAAATTCGCCCTTGATCTTTGGTATGATATTACTGACCTTTGGTGAGGTGACTTTGTCCATATTTATGACAAAAGAATGTTGTATAATAAAATACATGATAAATTTTGACCTTTGACCTTTTGACTCCATAACCTTGACCTTTGGTCAGTTGACTTACTATTCATTCCTACCAAACTTTGACAAAATGCCAACAAACTATAACCTCTTTAGAGGTAAACAAATTCAAACTATTGAAACTACTGAACCAATGATAAAGCACTTTATGCAGATGCATTGCATTATCAAATTTGCTTGTAACAAAAAATGCAACCAATTGTGTACCAATTAGGGGTGACAAACCTGTGTGGTTTAAACTCATATTTACCAAATTAATTTTGTACAAGTTGCAGGTAAATGTCCTCTGTGTTCCCCATATTGTTTTTTGAACTGATTCAATTGGACCCTCATCTGAAATCTGTCCCCCTGGACTAGCTAGCTCCTTTGGACATTTACAACTTTTTGGTACCAGCTCAAACAACACGGTTGAATACTTGATGTTCCACATATTCACTCCAGAACACTCTTTCAGTTTCTTCTTTATTCTCCTAGGTATGTCTATTAAAATAATGATATCTATGTTTTAAATATTTTATATGATTTGACTCTTGAGACTAGCCAAATACCATAATACAATAGTCTATTATAGGAAACACTTACCCTTTGTTTGTTCTGTTGGAGGGGTGTATGTGCGTAATTTTCATAATTTCAACAGGCTGTAAGTGAGGGAGTTATTTTCATAAGCAATATATCTTTGCATATTTAATGTGAACATATATTTCAATATGTATGTAATATATCACAGATTTAAACATGTGGGTGAAATTTTCGTGGCCAAACGACCTGCATATTAAGTAAATTTCCCTCATGTAAATTTCCATGTTAGACACTTCTGTTCAAACATCAGTTATTGATACTGTAACATTCAGAAAAGTAAATACCCTGGAGATTGTGGCGTAGATAGTTGGCATAAAACACCCAGACTAGCCCCTCTGCAACATTCCCTATAGGAATCTGGGTTGTGAAGGTGACACTCTCTCCTGGTAATATCAAGGTTAAGACACACGAATTTCAGCATATGGATGTGAAAGAACAACAAAGATCCCTGAGAGATCTTGGCGCCACCATCATAAGATCTTTATGAGATCTTCATCTGTTTGAATCTTCTATCATCTTATTTTATTTGCTCTGAACATTGAACATGAGAAATAATATACAAAATGAAGACTAAGTACAAACATTAAGATCCTGACACTACTTCTAAAGAAATAGTGATGATAAAAAGATGACAGCTTGTGGACTATAATGTTTTTTCCGTACAGTCCCAAAATTGATACAATACAACGCTTGTAACACATTAAATTTGTGAACAATAAAATTAACTTTTCAAGAAGCAGTGAGTAGCAATTACAAAAACTATTGGAGGACATAAAGACCATGGCTGATGGTGTGCTAAAAGTGATAACGAATAGGATCAGGAAATCATATCACAAAGTTTCTAATTATCAAAACAGATTTGAATTTTTAAAATTTTGAAAAAAAAAATTTGCATCCCTTTATGGATATCAATTTGATGGAAAAAATGTAGTGTGTTATTCTGATTTTAACATTTGAAAACTACCCTGTCCAAATTTCTTACAACAATAGCACATGTAAAATTTATTTTGTTGGAACATATGTACATGTTAAATGAATAGGCATTAAATCAGGATTTTTCATATACACTTACCTTCTATAATATGATTAATTTTTTCTGCATAGTCCGGTTCATCTGTGGTGATAAAAGTGACCCAGCTAAGGAAATCTGGAATGTTATCGGGATGTGTATCTAGGAGCACTGGGAGAAGACGTTGGCAGTTCTCAAGGTTCCCAATGGTCAGTAGCTCTCCTAGCCAAAACTCCATGACATGCATTGATGCCTCTGACAGAAATAAAACTGACCAGCGGGCAGCTCTCACTGTTTTTTCTGTCTGTTCAAATCCTTCTCTCTCTGGTGTCACTACACTGACAATCTTTTTCTTTGACTCCAGAAATGTTTTTATGTTTTCAGCTGGGAAAACCAAAGAAAATGATCTATGTTCAATGAAATTCATAACTGTCATGCACTTTGAAGTGTGGTCGGGTGGCGGTCACAGATGTGAAAAAGGTAAGGGGTCACCTGCCTGACCACGTGGGTTTTCCCCTGGTACTCTGGTTTCCTCCCACAATAAGACCCCTCACGCGCCTACATCCGGGCCAACAAGAGTGATTAGTATAAATTGACATAACTTGTTTTGCAATTATTGTAAAATAAATAAAGTTTATATTTACTTTGAATCTGTTTTATCATTGCAAGATAAACTTCAAAATCTCATCCTGATAGTATGCAAACTAGCTAATAGTAATTGGTTTCTTTGTGTGGTATAGGACAAAACTACTTCCAAACCGAGGTTTCTAAGATTTTACCTTATCTTTATGCTTTTTGATCAAACAATCAGTATAAACAGAGGTTACATAACAAGACCTTGTTGTATAAGAGATTTCTGCCACTCCAGTTCTGTGCTCACATGTGTTTTGATTATGTCATCACTAGGGATGAAATGATATGACCTTCAGTGAAATGACCTTCATTAATATGCAAAACTGACAATTTCAGAAATAAATGAAGATCATATACCTCATTACAAATTGTAACTGGAAATAAAAATGTCGCTAGAGATAGAGAACACTGTTGTTGCTTCAAGTTGCCTTCTTTTTGCCTGGATGCCCGAAGGTATGCTGGTGATTGATGGATAAGGGTAAAGCTTGAAAATAAAATAGAAATAAATCCAGGTGAAACCAGAGATACAAGAAGCATCTTGGTTTCCACCATTGTTTGATCTTTATTCGCATTTTAAAAACTGGATCTTTTCCCTTCTTTTCTCTTCTTTCTTTTGCTCTTAAATACATGAAAATTAGTATCCTAAGAAATAGGCATAATCATTAACTGGCTACTCCAAAATGGCTGCCTGTCAGCCATTTTTGTTTTTTCTAATCAGTTGCAAAATTTAAAGGGCACAACTCGGGACCAAGAGAAATCTGCAAATGAATGTTGAGAGAGCTCAACAGAGAACTTCTCAAAAAGGAGCAATAATTTTCCAAATCCAAGAGGGGCCACTTGTCAAACATATTGCTTTCCTGTCAGTACCAGAAAAAAAAGTAAACAACTAGGGACCAAAAGTTATCCACATGTGAAATTTGGAAGATAGTGATAACAAACTTTCATTGTCAAAACCAAGATGGTCACCTGTCAGCCATTTTTTTTTTCTTTTTATCATGATCAGTTCCGAAATCTAACAAGTACAACTAGGGACCAAGGGGAACAATGTACATATGAAAGTTGAGAAAGACACCAGTACTCGTCCAGGAGATTGTGAATACAAACTTTCTCTGTCAAAATCCTCCACAGCCATTTTGTTCATCTGATCAGTGGCAAAATCAAACAAACAAACCTATAGATAAAGGGGAAACCTACACATAAATTTGAGAAAGATCCATTTAGTACTATCTAGTACTTTTCAAGAAATAGCAATAACAATCTTGTATTGGCAAAGTCCAAGATGGCCACCTGTCAGCAAATTCTGGTTTCCCAATCACCCCTAAAATCAAACAGGCACAACTAGGGACTAAGGGAAATCTACAAATGCAATTTTATTGAGATTCATCCAGCACTTCTCCGCAATAATGATAACAAACTTTCATAGTCAGAATCCAAGATGGCCACCTCTTCCCCATTTTATTTTTCTAATCAGTCCTAAAATCAAGCTTGTATAAGTAGGGGCCAAAGGAAATTAATCTACATATGCAATGAGAGAGATCCATCAAGCACTTCTCAAGAAATAGCGATAATAAACATTCAGTTAAAAATTCCAAGATGGCCGTCTATCATATTTTTGTTTGTTTGCTTTTTTTTGTTTTATGAGAATGTAAGGTTATTCAAATTACATATATTATGACAAACAACAGAAATGACAATGAAACAGGTTTTTAGAAAAGAATTTAAATTTCTTGTTTCTATATAAGGCACTGACACTCTTATAGATTTTAAACTTATTTACCATTCTCCCGGTCGCAGGCACAACAGATTAGACAGACATCTTCGTGGATTTGGTCTTCCTGGATTTGGTCTTCCTGGTGCTCATCCTGTGGTTCAGTCTGATGGTATAGCTGGTCACATGGAACACTACAGCCCTTGTCAGTCAACAGAAACATTATAGCTGTAAAAATCAGTCTACAGAAACATTACATCTGTAAAAACCAGTCTACAGAACGTTACAGCTGTAAAAATCAGTCTACAGAATGTTACAGCTGTAAAAACCAGTCTACAGAACTTTACAGCTGTAAAAATCAGTCTACAGAAACATTATAGCTGTAAAAACCAGTCTACAGAAACATTATAGCTGTAAAAACCAGTCTACAGAAACATTACAGCTGTAAAAACCAGTCTACAGAAACATTATAGCTGTTCAAACCAGTCTACAGAAACATTACAGCTGTAAAAACCAGTCTACAGAAACATTATAGCTGTAAAAAACAGTCTACAGAAACATTATAGCTGTAAAAATCAGTCTACAAAAAAATTATAGCTGTAAAAACCAGTCTACAGAAACATTATAGCTGTAAAAACCAGTCTACAGAAACATTATAGCTGTAAAAATCAGTCTACAGAAACATTATAGCTGTAAAAACCAGTCTACAGAAACATTGTAGGTGTTAAGATTGTAACCCTGGTAAATATCAGCTACAATATACAGCTCAGCTACTTCTCTTTAGCTTGATTGGTCATTAAAACAGGTGTTGAAATACAGTCTACAGAAACATTATTGGTGTAAAAAAAAAACACAAATATCATTGATGAAAAATAAATCATCAGAAATAGTATAGCTGTTAAAATAACAAACTTCTGGAAATGTAATAAAAAAAACTAATTTAAACATGGGATGTGTTCCCAATGTGCATGGACTTATACTAACTTATATCTATCGTAAATGTGCCAATCAAACTATTGTGAGAAAATCATCAAGGTAGTGTCATTACTTCTAAATAATTGGCTGAAACACTTCCAAGGATGGGTCTGCCTGGGGGTAAACACTGGAGGGATTTCTGACATGCCCGTAATAGGTGAGAACCAGGCAAGGCATCACCAGTCTTATCTTCATCTACACCAACAAAAAAAAATCAATTACCGGTATAGTTTACCAACAGCAACCATTGAAAAATGCTTCTGCATATACCCTGTAGGAATTGGATGTATATATATGAAATAAAGACAAAGAAACGTCTCATACTTTTACAACACAAAAGAAATCATTTAAGCTCAAAACATGTCCGCTCACTTCAACGAAATGAAATAAAAACGAAATACAATTGGTATTAAATTGCTGTTACATCAATCATAGACCTCTAGTCGTTTAGCATATACAATGTACATACAATCAAAATATTTCATAAAAGGTAGAGTAAGATAGCTTGAATTAAGTTCTACATGTACAACAATAACTGCCATCCCATGTCAACAATTCTTCAGAAAAAAGTTGAGTGCCTGATTCTACCAAATCCAGGTCTTGAGAACAAGACTTTTGAAATTTCAGTCTCTTTGCACCATTTTGACCCCATCCATCGATCATCCCAACCTGGAGGTCACCCAGGATCAATATGTGTATTGCATCAAACTGTCATCCTATACTAATATATTAACGAAGATAAGTGTTTCCAATGGAAATTAAACAAATCATGTTCAAAAAAGTCATTATCCATTATAATTCAAACTAAGTAATCTTTGCCCCCTCCCTTGTGGGACATGTGATACTTAAAGGTCATGAAATTCTAAATTTTGGTAACCTTGTATCCATGAAGAGCATTTAATTCTACTATACATGTATCTAGATCTTGAGAAGGAGATTTTTTAAATTTCAGTTAATGTCAATCCTTGTAGGGAAGGAAACAAAATAACCAACAATGTTGGTTAACCTTTGGCCAAGGAAGGTTCCTACAAAACTTTACCGAAATTTGTGCATGACTTTTTGAAAAGATCGTGGAAAATATCACAATGGATAATTAATTAACAATTAACAACAATGGACTTTTTTTCAAAAGCCCTCTCAATAGGCCACTAAAACTCTTAGGTAACCTTAATGTATCTTTCATATACCTAAATATTTACTTTCATTAACATCATTAATTTTGAAAAGTTTTAAAATAAAAATAAATAAATAAATAAAATAATGATTGAGATAAAGAGAAGATCTCTTGTGCCGAGTAGTTTACTGCGACTAATATTTACCAAGGCTACATATACATACTTCATATCTATGAAAGAACTTGTCATTCTATTTTCCTGTTGGTGACAGTGATGATTGAGAGGCAGGCATTAAAGTTTTAAATTACATCTCACAAGTCCCTTTTGTAAAGTGGATAGCAATGCAACAGAAAAGATCATTTCTTTCAGAGTCACAGTTAGGGACCTTTGACTTCCGAGACCTATGCTCTACTGATTAAACATTATTTCTTAATGAGCAGTTTATTGTGGTGTTTACTGAGGCTTTACATGCACCTCAGAATTACCTATTTAAATTTGTTATACAATTTGACCAAGTAAGCGGTTTGCTAGGGACATCAAGAAAGACAGACTACATTCCAAAATCTTATAAAAGAATATTCAGATAAAAAGTCTAGTACCATTATATGGCAGAATGACGACCTTGTTGTGACAGTCTTGGCTGTTTTGATGACTCAGCAGAAAATCTATTTGGTAGTAAAATCGTTCTACTTCCAAGTCTAGCTGGTGAGCATCTATCTTCCCAAGAGCATCCATGAAGATTGAACCTAGGGCGCAGAATGCACTGGGGATCTCGGCAAGGCAGTAATACTTCTAGAACAAGAAGGTGATACAGAAGCTGAGGAAAATGATTAACATTCAATTCTAATTGGTTAGTTACTATTTACCATCCATTTCACTGATAAAAGTCAGATTGTTCAGCAGATGCAACAGGGTGGGCAGGCAGTTGGTATGGGTAGTCTAAATCTCTACCTATATATTAGTTATTAGACCTCATCTGTCTGGTATGTTAATAAGGTCAGGCCAAATCCAGTTCGGTGCACAGTATAACACAATGAGTCTCTCTGGGGTCTGGCTAGGTAGTTGTCCAGTCCTACTATCACCCCAATGGCACATTAGATATAAAACAGTAGCTAAGTCTTCAGCATCTCTGCTTCCATATAAAGATGTAAGTCAAATAGAAACCTCTAACCAAACTAGATGTTCTTACATAGTAAAAACAAATCACTGAAAATATTTTTTTGTTTGATTGAAATCAGAAATAAATAAGTAGTTCAAACTCATTTCATTCACTGGTCAGTAAGAAATACAAATCTATTCACTGGTCAAACTGATTATAATGTACTTACCATACCACTTTGTGGGTCAGTGATGGAGTAGACATTTGGTGTAAAGATACGTAAACTTCCGTTGACTTTTATCTTCATCTCCAACTTGTCCTCATACTTAAGACGAGGGTCAAGACATTCCAAATTATTTTGACCTTTAGGCCCTTTTCCACTTCTTGGTAGTAGCATGTAAAACTTGATAGGCATACATACTCTATCATTACTTGATCTGTAAAACCTACAAGCTTGTATAACGTTTGGAAGATCTGAAAAAGAGGGCCATCAATTTACCACACAAACCTGGTAACACAACACCATACAAATCTGGTCATACAACACTACACAAACCTAGTCATACAACACTACAAAACCTTGCCATACAACACCACACAAACCTGGTCATACAACACTACACACACCTGGTCATACGACAGTTAAAGTAGATTGAGTTTGTCCTTTTTTAGATAACATTTGAAATAATATTTTCTGTATAATGTTTCTTTAAAATTTAAAAATGTTAAAATATCAATTGATTAGAAGTCTCAGTTTGGTGCTATGGATGTCATCTAGGATGCTTTTGTTGATATTCTGAGAAACTACAGACCTACTCTAATAATAATAAAGTTTCGTTAAAACTGGATATGTACAAAAAATGTGTGTGATATTCGAGAAAATGTGATATAAGATACAATTCTGATTTTAGTAACAGATCACATATTGAGTTCTTTTGAAACTGCAACATAGATTTGCGGGCTTATTACAAGACAAGGGTATAATGGTGCATGAACATTGGTAGGATTTCTTGGATATTTACTGACCTACAACAGACATAGCCAGGTATCTGTATGTTTATTATCTTATCCATACAAAACATTGCTTACCAGGCAGAACAACCTTGAGATATCCAAGGAAATGTGACCATGCCATGCCCCGTCCAACATTACCCACAGGTAACTTGTTGTGGATTGGTTCATCACCTGAAATACAAAGTTGGGCTGGCTTGGGACAATATTCCCTAAAAAATCCAGTAATGATAGGGCAAAAAAAAAAAATAACATCTGTGAAAATGACTTATACATTGTACTACAACAGTGAAATTTTGTATTTTTTGTTTATCCTCTACATGAATTAAAACATCTCTTTTTCAAAGGAATTATACCTATCCCAGTCACATTACAGACAATTTAAGCAGCCATTTTAAACCATTCAGAGATTACTGCATGTGACAAAAGTCAATACTTGCATGCATGTACAAGAAATTTGATTAACCAATAGTATAGTTTGGTACATAGATTAAAGATACAAGTAATCTTATTAACCAATAGCATTGTTTGGTACATAGATTACAGGTACAAGAAATATTATTAACCAATAGAATTGTTCGGTACATAGATTATAGGTACAAGAAATATTATTAACCAATAGAATTGTTCGGTACATAGATTATAGGTACAAGAGGTCTAATTAAAAATCTCTTTAACAAATCAGTTTGAATATGTTATTGAGCAACAGGCATCTACCAGGTACTGTTTTAAAGGATGGTAATCCTTTACAAACACTGAAAGGCAGATAAACAGGATAACTACTTAATATGGTAAATGTATGTGAGGTTCTGAAAATTACTTACGTTTGATTAATTTACATAACATCATCATACACATCTCGTGTACATTGTCATCCAGTTTGATGTAGGATGCCGTTTCTAACCACGGTATTTTTGGTACGTCTTTTTGTGTCATTCCATTAATTAATAAAACAATCAGTCTCATCTCTCCCATCTTCAGACTTTTCTCAATAGCTAGATACATCTCTAATGGAAAATGTCTCATTCCTTTTTGTGACAGAATGAGCAGTATCTTTTTGCACCTTTTCACAGCGGCATGTCGACTCCCAATATCCCAACCCCCTGGTGCCAGGTAATCATCACGATGTTGAAAATAATAGGAAATTTTAAATGAATCAAAATCTGGTAAAATGTATTTCTTGATGTGGAATATGTCCATCTCATCAGCAGTGATAAGAATCTCCCTTGTCCAGTCATCAGGGTCATGGTGAGACAGACTATCTGACATTGCTGCCATTTTGGTCCAGTTTTTCTATATCATAATCTTCTGAAAAAGGATGAAAGAAGCCATGTAAATGTTACCAATATGTTTCATAAAATCTGTAAGCGTAAATACTTTTAATGTGATTAAACCTTTAATGGAAGTATATGGTTATTATTCTCAAAATTAGTGATGGAAGTATAACCATATATGGTGATGTCTGTATATGGGGGTAGCCTTATATGGAGCTAAAGCTATATATGGTAATGCCCTTATGTAATGGTAGTCTTTTATAGAGGTTAGCTATGATGAGACAGACTATCTGACATTGCTGCCATTTTGGTCCAGTTTTTCTATATCATAATCTTCTGAAAAAGGATGAAAAAAGCCATGTAAATGTTACAAATATGTTTCTCTCATAAAATCTGTAAGCGTAAATACTTTTAATGTGAGTAAACCTTTGATGGAAGTATATGATTATTACTTTCAAAATGAGTGATAGAAGTATAACAATATATGGTGATGTCTGTATATGGAGGTAGCCTTATATGGAACTAAAGCTATATATGGTAACGCCTTTACATAATGGTAATCTTTTATAGAGGTTAGCCATTATAATGGTGTTTTCTTTACAAGGAAATAGCCTGAACTAGCCTTATATGGAGGTAAATCTTTATGTCATAATGCACTTACAAGGAGGTAACTTTTATGGAAGTAAAGCTTTATTTGATGATGCCCTTGAAAGAAGTACATGTAGCCTGAAGTAACCTTACATGAAGGTAAAGTTTTGTAATGCATTAGTGTTGCTTTATGTCCTAATAACAGCCACGAACATTTAATGATGTCACAACTTTGAGTGGTGGAGAAAAGCCAGATTTACTGTAGAAAACCCACTGATTTACCAGAGTTACTGCCCTTCCTTTATACTCTCATGGTGATAAGCTTGAAGGCCGATTGGGGCCGAGTACGAATGTGCCTTGCAACTGCCCTACAAAGGCTTTGCACATATGACCTAGAGCTTAGCTTCTGATGGATTTAATAAAACTGAAATAGCTGCCTGGCTAGATCAAAAAACTAAAGTATAGTGTAAGTTATAATAGTCATGCTAGTCACATGTTGTTTTTTATTTTGTTAGCCCTGTTGACATTTCCAATATCAGACATAAATTATATATATATATATATAATTTTACTTCCAAACTTCATGAGTAATCAATGGGATAAAATAAAAGCTGTTTTAGACCTTTTAAGAGTTACAGCACAGTTGATCACCTCAGATGTCAAGGTTCCATCAAAAACTTTGTAGTATGGTTTCTTAAAAGGTAGCTGATTGTAAATATAAAAAAAATAGTTATCATACATAAAATTAAATAAAGAAGGCAAAAGACTTTGACCTATTAAAAAAACCTTGAACACACCTTAACAATCCTTTCAATTGCATTTCCTCTTTCACTTTTATGACACAAGAGTTCATTTTCTGAAAAGCTGTGTATAGCAAATTTGGAGGAGGTGCGGAGTGATTGACATTGTATTAAGTAATTAACTATAATTGATGTAAAAGTCAAAGCGGCAAACCCATTTTAAATAACAATAATGGCATATGATAATCCCTTAGAAAGTGGTTCTTCACTATCCTATATATATATATATATCTTCGTAGATTTGATAGGCAGAGAAGCGAGATATATCCTCGTCTGTCAATATCTGACAGAATGTAGTAAATTTGTGCGGTATACAATGACGGTCACTGATACTGTATAAGATATACTCACCCGAACAATAATTTGGCAAGTACACAGTAATATGTGGACGAATAACGTTATGTATCACCACGATTAGCAAGGCGTGTAGCTCTCTCAGGTGACAAGGCGAAGACTCATTAATCACCCGTCAGAGGCACGAAACCACTCGGGTACTCCCGCGTGCCACGACACTCCGACAGGAGTGACAGCTTTAGTCAACATGCCCCACAAGGATTACAAAGAGTTATGAAGCGATATTAGGTTATTGACACAGAAAGCTATCTGTCCGTGTATTTAAGACTTCTATCTAAACAACTACGTTTACATTTTTGATAGCTTATTGTTATATCCACTTACATAATGTACGTCAGTATCGAGAAATTGACTCCAATATCGAAACTGAAAGTAGATTTCTTACTAGGAATAAATCTTCACTATCGTGAGCTAGAATTCTTTTTTTTTATTTAACAATATGCTTTACTTGAAGATTAACTTCGCTTAATATCAAATACCACAGACATTTAACCTATTTCCAATTTCCACACTACCGTAAGTAATTTAGTTCAGTTTCTCGCGAGAAGCACAGACTTGCGAGAATTGTTCTTTGACCCGGAAGTAGATCGTTTGGCCAATCGAGGTAACCCACGAGTACACACACAGAATCGACTGCAAACTGATGCTTACAGACGAAGGACACGTTTCTTTAGTGGAAATTTGTTTCCAACATGTCTGCGATAACTGTTCGTCGACTGATATGTCTAACTAAATCCATTGTAGTGTTTGTTCTATCTTTGGATGTCTATCTTGAAGGTAAGTTGGTAGTAATAATATTGCTAATGAAATGTTGCTGTCAGTCATGATGAGTCGTTATCAACCGGTAAATGGTAAATTTACTCACTTCAATTGTACATAACTGTTTGGTCATTTTGAACTCTTTGAAATTGTAACGCATTTTTTGGAGATATACATTTTATAGATTGGCCGATTTACATACACGTAAAAGGGTAACAAAACTACAATTTTTAACCGTGTACCTGCATGTAAACAACTATGATTTTAGTGTCTTAGTTTTATCGACATATCAAACATAAGCAACTGTACATGTATACCGCCATCCATGGACATATATCGATTGGATGAGAAATGAAACAAGAGAGTCAAAATCAAGAATGGGACTTGAACCTGATACCTTCAAACTAGAACCAAGCATGAATTCCTAATGTCACCAAACTTCTCTCCATTCATTTTCTGGTTATAGCCCTTCAAAATAAAAGGTGTTGATCGAAATTTTTTAAAAGGGTCATCAAGGGGAAAGACCTTATCATCAATTATATTGTATAATTATCACATTTGTTTATATTTAGGTGATGTTCTATGTACTGTATGTCATGTCTGCAGGTAGTTTTGACTATTTGATCAGAGACATGTATAACACAGAGATAGGAATCTCCTTGTTGAGCTTACAATTGCTCACACATAACTAAATGTCTAATAGTAACTGATCGTACAACATTGTGTGTACCCATATACATCAAGATTTTACTAAAGGATTTTCAAAAGTGGCATCTTCAAGCTTCAAGCTGTTGTGTATGTGACTTTTATGACAGAATTTTGACATATAGATATGCAAAATATCTGAGGAAGTAAATAACGTTTGTTCTGCTTTCTGCTACATCTTTGTGATGTTGATGAGTTATGATTCATCAACAAAGAATTTTTTTACACTTCAAGGTTTTTTATGTGTTGTCAGCATATCAGTGAACTTTCTTGACTCAGAATACATGAAGCCCTTATTTAATTTTTCATTTGTTTTGAATTTGGTTTTCATATATTGATTCTATCTTAGTATTTTTATTGGCTTTCTTGACAATGTTGGGATACATTTTCAATGATATTTAGTAATTAAGAAGAGAAAAATCTGTGCTCGATTCTTAGCAAAATTATGCTATGATGACCATTTGACTGAAAGTACAGAATCTTTTTCGGTATAACATGTCCCCGAAAGTGTGTAATAACCAAGTGCGGAAAGTTGGTATTTTCACAATATTTTATTTAACACGGTGGCTGTCATTGTGATCTGTACCGCTGTTCCAGGCTTTGGATTAATACAAGTTCTGTCTTTTGTTTGTTATTCTGTTGAAGATGATATCTAAATTTTTGTACCAAGATATTGAAGATAACAATTTGACTGAAAATTAATACCAATATATCTATGTAACATGTCGCTGATAAAGTTTGATAACCAAGCTGTGAAACGTTCAGAACATAATTTTCTTGCATGGTCACTGGCAATGTGTACTTGATCTGTACTGTTCTTGGCTTTAGGGTTACAAAAGCTCTTTCTGTTCATCTAAAAATGATTTTCAAGTCTTAGTATAGTATCTTAATATATCAATCACTTGCCTCAAATCTCAGTGTCTCCATAATATGTCCATGATAAAATGCAATAAATTAAAGCTACAAAAGGTAATGTTTTTTTTCTCCACACCCCTTCATGCCACCTGCAAATATTGCATCCAATACATTTCCTTCAAGAAGAAAATATAATCATGATGGCAATCTCTGTGTTATATACATCCCTGATTAGATCCAAAAGTTGACTTTGAAATTTCTAATTACTGTTCAATGTTATGAAATATATGCACTTTGGGTTGGGAATTAGTGCCTAGTCCCTGTGCTTTGATGGACCAATGATACTGCATATCAGTCCTTGAATATACAAATTTCAGTATTTTTTATAGTATTTATAAATATTGATTAAATGATGTACAAAGCACTTTAATGGTGAAGATGGTACAATCAAATATCAAATAATAATAATTGATGAATAATTTTGCAACTATTTACATGCTAATGCTATAAAATAAAATATTTTTTCCTCTAGGTGTAGATGGGTCTCCTGCGGAAGTACAACAACACCTGGAAATGGGGAAGAAACTTTTAGCAGCAGGTCAACTCGCAGATGCCCTGTCACACTACCATGCTGCTGTAGGTAGGTATAACCTTACATTAATGAGCCAGTTTTCCTATCACACTACCATGTTTGTAGGTAGATAAAGCCTTACATTAACTAGGTAGTTCTCTGTCACACTACCATGCTGTAGTAGGTAGGTACAGCCTTACATTAACTAGCTAATTCTCTGTCACACTACCATGCTGTAGTAGGTAGGTACAGTCTTACATTAACTAGCTAATTCTCTGTCACACTACCATGCTGCAGAAGGTAGGTACAGCCTTACATTAACTAGCTAATTCTCTGTCACACTACCATGTTGTAGGAGGTAGGTACAGCCTTACATTAACTAGCTAATTCTCTGTCACACTACCATGCTGTAGAAGGTTTAGACAGCCTTTCATTAAGTAATCAATGCCACTGGGTTGTGAAGTATAAAAATCATTATTCTTTACAAACATTGATTTAAAAAACTGAAATATTTTGAAGGCAAGGAACAAACATCTCACATTATGTTATGAAACTGATACATGAGACAGACTATATATTATAATTGATCCATTATATGTACCCAGTCATTGACATGACTATTTAAAACTTCCATTTTTGTTGATATTTCAGATGGAGATCCCAATAACTATATGACATATTTTCGTCGTGCAACAGTATTTCTGGCTCTTGGGAAATCCAAATCTGCTCTTCCAGACCTTGATAAAGTCATACAGCTGAAACCAGACTTTACTGCTGTAAGTTTATACATGTATCAAACACTAAATTTTGATTTAAAATTGACTAAAAAGTTTAAGTATAATTTCAGTACATTGATTTCAAAATTGAAGATATACTTTTAATGACTAATCTCATTTCATGATATGCATATTTGATTCGGTAAATGTTTGAAAGCTTCAAGTTAAAACAAGTACAAGAAAGGCTGTGAATATACCAGTATCACCCACCAATTAGCATGGTGGGGATATTTTTCTGAGAAATATCCTAACTGTTTTGTGTAATATTTACTTCATGCATAAATGGTACTAGAACATAGTGTAATATTTTATATTTTCAGGCAAGATCTCAACGAGGGAATGTTTTATTAAAGCAGGGAAATCTACAGGAAGCCAAAGAGGACTTTGCTGTTGTAGTAAGAATCATTATTATCAAGTGACAACTTCTTGCAGTTCACCCTATGTAGTTTTTAGCTACACTACTAACAAAACTAAAATTTACCTGAAAGAGTTAAATGAGATGGTAATGCTCATGTTCTGATCAGCACATTTTTAACTCACCTGGTTCGATGGACCTGTGAAGTTATGCTATACCATTGGATGTCATTCATCCATCCGTCCATCCTTTTTCTGCCAACGTTTTCTACAAAATGAACGACTGAGCAGATTTTGATCAAATGTTATCAGGAGCATCCTTGGACGAGACAGAACAAATTTTGTGTAAAGATGGGTTTTGGCCCCAAGGGGCCTGATTGGTGAGGCCCAAATAGGGAATTTTTGGGAGGGAGGGTTGGGACTCAATAGGAGAAATAGAGCAAATTCTTTAAAATCCTACTTCCTTTGTAGGAATGTCAGAATTTAGTCCAAGTTTGGTCAGAAGCATCCTTGTGTGAAAGGGCTTCAATTTGGTTTGGTATAAAGGATAGGACTAACTTCGCTGGAGCCATTGGAGTGAGGCCCAATAGGGGAAATCGAACCAAGTTATTTATAATGCTATTTCATTTGTAGGAATATTCAGATTCTGTCTAAATTTTGCATAAAGCATTCTTGTCCTTTAATTTTGATTAATGAATGCTTTAAAACAATAACATATTTCAATACATTTGAAACTCTTTGAGTCTTTAATGGTTGATACATTAAGTATATGTTAGAGCTTCATCTTGTTCTGTTACAGTTATCTAAAGATCCCACAAATGAAGAGGCAAATCTAAATATACAAAAAATACATCCTCTAGAGAAAAGTATAGAAGAAGCAAAACATTTCTTTCATATGAGGGAGTTCCAAGCAGCTATAGACTTGTTGACACAGGCAGTTGAGGTAAGTCACATGGAAGTTCATAATTGCAAGTCATAACTGTTGTCTGTACTGCAGGCAGAGGGAGTTTTTATACTGACAGAACTGAAGATTCAATTGGTGTTAAAAAATGGGGCTTTGGTAGCCATTGGATAACAGCATCTGGTTGTCTTTTTTTATCATCAGCCCTCCACCACTGTATTGTGGCTTTCTCCACACCCAAACCTGTCACATCCTTTAATGACCCTGACTGTTCATAGAACATAAATCTATAATGAACCATACATCATTTAATTGTTTTCCTTGGAAAATAGCCAATGTGTCTGTGACTTTCAGAATGACAATAGTCTTACTGCTTGATGGCTTTTATAATATGTGTAACTCCAGGTGTATGTGTTTGGAAATTTAGAAGCTATGCAGTTTGTTGATATTGTAAAGATTAGAATTTAAACGAATGAAGGTAAGGGAAGTACATTCAATTACAAAGTCTTTCAAAGTTTTGAGTGATGATGCTTCTGATAATATAGTTACATTTAGTCTGATAATGTTGAATTTCTATTTAGCAGAAGATAAGATATAACCTATGTAACTTGTTAACTGATGAATTACAGGTATGTCCCTGGGATATAGAGCTACGAGAGATCAGATCGGAGTGTTACATGGCCCAAGGTGATTACTTTAAGGCTGTTGGAGATATCCGGTCCACCACAAAACTCCGTAGCGACAACACACCAGCTTTTCTAAAACTTAGCCTCCTCTACTATGACATGGGGGATGCAGAAAATTCTCTTATGTAAGTTACTTTAACATGATTTATTTCAATTTACCAGACATATCAAATGTCTACACATATTGAGTACCCTCAGAAAATAAGAATTATATAGAGGAGCCATTGTCAATGTTTTGTTTATCACAATTTACATAAAAGACAGAAGGTTCATTGCCAGGGGTATTCTTTAGGGCTTTTTGGAATTGATGGTGGACTACATTTGCAACAGAAATTATGTCATTTAGTTCAAGAATCCAAAATTTGCAACTTACTACATCTTTTAGAAACAAAGAAAAAATGCCTTATCTGAAAGCAGTTTAAAAACCTTTCTACAAATTTTTGAATTTCATTGTAATATGTTGTTATTTTAATCAGTGGATGATGAAATTTGACACTACAAGAAGATAGATTGTGTAGAAATTTAATACCTTAATTAAAAGTTTTTAAGGGGAGATAACTTAAACAAATTGTTGGTGAAATTTGACAGGAGGTATGTTTTTCCATTTATGAATAACACTGTGAATGGTGAATGTTTTTTTTGTTTGTAGAAATATACGAGAATGTTTGAAACTTGATCCTGATCACAAGGAGTGCTATCCTCATTATAAAAAAGTAAAGAAGCTAGTGAAACAGCTTCAAATGGCACAGGACCTGAGAAATGAGAAACAGTATGAAGAGTGTATAGGAAAAGCACATCAGATACTCACAACAGAACCTACAGTGTCTGTGTACATAATGAAGGCCAAATCTTTCTTATGTCACTGTCACTCACGGGTAAGGAGACCATTTCATCAGATGAAAATTGCAATAATTGTTATCCCCAGGGAAGTTACCAGATAGAAATTACAATATCTGTTATCTCCAGGGAAGTTACCAGATAGAAAATTCAATATCTGTTATCTCCAGGGAAGTTACAGGATAGAAAGTACAATATCTGTTATCTCCGTGGGAAGTTACAAGATAGATATTACAATATCTGTTATCTCCAGGGAAGTTACAAGATAGATATTACAATATCTGTTATCTCCATGGAAGTTACCAGATAGAATTTACAATATCTGTTATCTCCGGGGAAGTTACAAGATAGAAATTAAAATATCTGTTATCTCCATGGAAGTTACCAGATAGAATTTACAATATCTGTTATCTCCGGGGAAGTTACAAGATAGAAATTAAAATATCTGTTATCTCCAGGGAAGTTACCAGATGGAAATTACAATATTTGTTATCTCCAGGGAAGTTACCAGATGGAAATTACAATATTTGTTATCTCCAGGGAAGTTACCAGATGGAAATTACAATATTTGTTATCTCCAGGGAAGTTACAGGATAGAAAGTACAATATCTGTTATCTCCAGGGACGTTACAAGATAGATATTACAATATCTGTTATCTCCAGGGAAGTTACAAGATAGAAATTACAATATCTGTTATCTCCAGGGAAGTTACCAGATAGAATTTACAATATCTGTTATCTCCAGGGAAGTTACAAGATAGAAATTACAATATCTGTTATCTCCAGGGAAGTTACCAGATAGAAATTACAATATCTGTTATCTCCGTGGGAAGTACCGGTATTGAAACAATTTGAAAATTTGAAATTTTCTACATATCATACAAATATACACTGTGGTTCATTTATGTGTTTCCTTTTTTTCAATTAAAAAAAAATTCAAAATGAATTGTATTTCAATATATCTTTCTTATAGGCTGGTCACATCACAGATGCCTTTGATATTTGTAACGAGATTCTTCAGATAGAGCCAGAAAACATAGAAGCTGTTATGGACCGAGCAGAAACCTACCTAGTCAATGAACAGTTTGATGAAGGTTAATTAATTTTAATTAGTAAATGATGTAAGCAATGAATAAGTTGGACTATGCATAATAATAGCAATGTTGAAAGCAATTATCAAAATATGATAATAAGTTTTATTAGGTCATTTGACCGAAGATGACCCTTCGGTCAGATGACCTATTGCGATCGCCTTTTGTCAGGCGTCGTCTGTCGTAAACAATTTCAACTTTTTCTCAAGTTCTACATGTCTCATTGACCTGAAACTTACCTGAAATGATCGTGACATGATCCTGACCAAAGTTTGTTAATTTCGAGTTGGTCCGAAATCCAACATGGCCGCCATCTTGAAAACACATTTTCAACTTCTTCTCAAGTTCAAATTTGAAATCTTGTGTTTTATGTCAGATGACCTTTACATGAAGTACTTTGAATGGTTAGGGACATCAGGAATTTCATGTTACAGGAAACTGGTGTACATGTGTAAATTGGATAATTCCTTTCCTGTTTATATTTGATGATGAAATCAAAACCTGGACATGATGGACGCAAATTCTCTTACATGTTTACATGTTACAGTTGATTCGATATGCAAGGCCTTGTTTCCAATATCACAATCTTCATGCAAGATGTTGACAAATGACAGATAAACCTTCAACACAGGGTTTCAAGGGATAGAAGTTGATGAAGAACATGAGTGGTTTTACAGTCATCATAGTGGTCACATTTGGAAATATTCTATTTCCTTGTGCGTTATGAAGTTGGATATTTTTGATGATCGTTTTTGTGCCTTGTGGTTCCGTTGTTGTTTAGATTGTTACTTACTTGTACTGACTAAGATTGACATATGTGTCTTCAATGAAGCAGAAAACACTTATCCTTCCAGAACACCTGGTTTTATAATATACAGTGGAATCTGTCTAAACCGGACACTTTTGGGACGGAATAATTTGGCTGGTTCGGAGAGAGTTCATTGTTATTATTAATATTGTTGGAATTGCGTCATAATTATTTCATCAGATTAGGCAGATATCTGGATTATACATAAGTTTGGTTTAGACAGAGTCCACTGTACATATCTTCTGCATGTGCTTTTTCAGCAGTTTCAATTAAAATTTTTCTTTTGTTCATATCTAAACCTAGTTTCATCAAATTTATATTAATATTCTGTTGAGAATGTTATTTTCTTTGTTGTTTTTTATACATATTATCTGGTTTTGTCTTTCAGCTGTCAACGATTTTCAGTTTGCTGTAAATTTAGATGGTGATAATCGACAAGCAAAAGAAGGATTAGAAAAAGCTCAAAGATTACTCAAACAGTCACAAAAAAGAGATTATTATAAAATTTTGGGTATAAAACGGTAAGTAATCCATATATATTTCTTTAAAAAGTGTGTCATATTCTATACTGGGTTAAAAATGACATCGATGATAGAGCATCAACATCTAAATTTTTCGTCTTTTTGTCATTGTGATACATGTTTCAGCTAGCTGTCATCAGAACAACGGTATAAATATTAACATAGATAAGGTTAAAATCATGGCTCAGTCTTTACAAAATTACATATGTCTTTATCACATGGTAATTTTTTGATGTGGCTCTATAGAATACTGTTGTTTGTCCATCTTTTGATTCCTTCCTGATCCGATTAAAGACTAAGACAACAAGGATGTTGGTTCTCTCCCATTCCGTTAGGATTTTTTTTCTATCCCGAGAAAAGACTTGGTTCCTAACTCAAAGTATTCGCATGAGTTTATCATAGAATAATAGAATACCATTTCTTTATGTAACTGCTGAACACCAGTTGTATAAGGATAGGTGAAATGTCTGGAAAGGGCTTTTTGCTGGTTTAAAACATTACAAAACTTCCTGATTTAGGATATTCTCTTATTGACAGGTGGGCTGATCAAGTCTCTTTTTGTCAGAGATCTGTCGGCCATAATCATTTCTCGTTATCGTTACTCCTCTGAAACAGTCCATAGGATCAGGTTTTCTTAATCTGTCAGACTATATGTCCTTTGCTGACTAGTCAGTTATTATTATACATTGAAGATGTGCATAATCTACATGAGGTTGAGCGACCTCCCCTTTTCTGAGTTAATGCACCTTTAGGAATGACCAAGGAGATGGGGGATGGGGTTTGGATATAAGTTACCCCTGGAATCTTTATTTTCTATTGCAGGAAAGAAAAATCAGTTTGTCAGATTTTCAGTAATGGAAATTTTCTTTTCCAGAACTGCAAGAAAAAAGGAAATTATGAAAGCATATAAAAAATTGGCCAAGAAATGGCATCCAGACCGATATAAGGGGGACGACAAAGCCAAAGCAGAGAAAATGTTTGTAGATATAGCAGCAGCTAAAGAAGTCCTCACAGATCCTGGTAAGTGATTAATAAAATCTTTACCCCCTTGGAGGTAAGGTAGGGGATCTCACCAAATCTACTTTTAAACTACAACATTTACATAAAATTGGACAGGAGTTTCAAACATATGGCACATTAAGTCTGAGAATTTTGTGAGGTAAAATAAGAAGTGTGAAATGAAACTAATGGAAGATTCTGTTTATCACATAACTAAGGTACCTTGCAAATATATTTTGCAAATATAGGTATGCTCTCTCTTTTTATTTCTTTCCTTGGTGATGTCACAATGTGTTTAACACTTTGAATTTATTACATCACAATGGGAACATTCAGCTCTCCACAGGCACTTGTTTCTGGTCATTGTTAATTGTTTAGGATTTTTAATCTAAGATCTGTTTATATATTATACAATGTATACAGTAAACAAGCTAATCTCATATTCATATTCCGTAAGGGCTATTATCTAGAGCTTTGTTTCATGTGTGTCATAACAACAAGATAGGTTATGGTTGTTATTACACTGATAACAAGATATAAGTTGCATGATAAGTACATGTACGATGTATAAGCTGTGTGTTCATGATAGGATATTGGTAATATGATGCTGTGTTGGTTGCCGTGAAAGTTAAGAACCTTTTCCACAACATCACAAATGTCATGGTTCTGTGTCTTATGTTCAGTAATAGGAAGTTAACATTTCTGATATGTTTATTTTCATTTGTTTCAGAAAAAAGGCAGCAATTTGATAATGGTGAGGATCCTTTGGACCCTGAACAACAACAACACGGTGGTGGGCATCAGTGGCAACAGGGCTTCAATCCTTTTGGATCAGGGGGAGGTTTTAACTTTAAGTTCCACTTCAATTGATATTGGTTCTTATTTAGTAGAAATTATTTTCTTAAAATCCATAATGCATTGGTTTTTTTTTTTATACTGATATTGATGCTTGTATGGGAAATGTGTTCCAATTTTTCATTCCAGTGCAAACATTTTCTGGATATTTTTATCAGTGGTTGCCTTATGATATCTGCATCTGAAGAAACTTGTTGATGGAGTAATATTTTTGTATAAGATCATGATTATGTCAGTTTTGTACAAGATTATCTGATATTTTGGATCTTTTGTTTTTAGGCCTTTTTGAGGTGATAAAGTCAGGAATTATAGGTACTTTTCAGTCAAAAAAAGGTTGAAATCATATGATGTTGTAGTCAAACCATATTTCTAATTAAAATCCTGTGTAATCTGAAGACCACCATTAATCAGACCAGCATTTTGGTTTTATGTCATATGTGTCCAATCGAAAAATACATTTGAAAAAATTTTGGCTAATTACTTTGAGACAGATAACATCCTACATTATTACCTTTTCAGAAATTTGTGAGTCCATCCCTATAATTCAGGTCAGGCTTTTGATGGATTTGGACAAATTTTTGCGTACTTTTCTAATAAAAAGCATAAACAAAATTTAGTCAGGCCAATCTTTGTTAATGTGATTATTATTGTTATTTTTAACAAACAAAACCAGTTTACAAACCAAAGTTTATGTTACATTTCTTCACCTTTAATTCCTCCATGTTTAAGTCTGTTAAAATTTTCAATTTCCCAAATTAAGTCATATTAAAGCAAAATAAAATTTCTTTTTAAAAGACATTTTTTGTCACAAGCATAGATCTAATGTCAGATCGTTTGTGTATTAAGAATTTGAAACACATTAATGAGTCTAGAATTATTTACCAGTCAATGTTGCAGAAAACATAGCGTATCTGTAATAAATTATTGTTTATGAGTGAATTGTGATACGGACGTCCGATGAACGTTTAAATGCGGTGAATGAGTTTGATATAAATGTATAAGTGTACGTGTGTGTTTATTATGAGGATTTAGAATGAATGTAAATCAGTGAAACTGTGTTTGTCACAATCCTTAGGTTAATTTACTTGTCTTTACCTGCCTGACACAGCTACAGAGTTATAACAGACATCAATCTAAATTGGCTATAGATATTAATATTACCTTGGTACATTTATCAAAAGAATCACAGATGTATTGCTGTGTTGAATTTTCTTGATCTCAAGTCCAGTTTCTTTTTTATTCCAGACTTGTTTTCTCTTAAATCAAGACTCAATACATCAATTGATACCTGTATTAATGTGTTATTCTGGACATTTTATTATACAAACAAAACCTATCCTGAATTGTCTCCCTTGTATGGTAAGATCAGAGAGCGTTCTGTTTATATGATGTATATGTCATTGAAAATTGTCACTTGGACATAGTAAACAGATATTTTGAAGTATGCTTAAATTCAGTTTTCTTGAAAATATTTGCAGCAATTTTTATAAAATGTTTAATAATTATTATAAGCATTCATATTGAACAATTATAAGTTATATTGTAAGTTTTCATTCAGTGTAGGATCTTAAAAAAATCTTCTACACTAGACTCAGTTAAAAAAAGGTCATTAGATATCAAACAATTGAAATTGTGATATTGGTTAAACATTTCAATGTGAAAAACAACTGCATCAGAAATCATTCAATACAAATACAGATGAAGATATGGATAAATGTTACATTATTATTTTAAAAGTTTAAGGTGATAATGTGATATCTCTAACACACATTCAAATTAGAGATGTTGAAAGCTACTAAATAATAAAATTTTGAATAGAGTGCCGGTTGCTGACGATGATATGAAGAAAGGAATAGTTTGCTCAGGTTTCATTATTGCTGTAAACCAATGGTAACTAGAGCAGGAAGTGGAAATAGCAGCCTAGAAAAAATATATTTATGTTTACTATGTTTTGTGATGTTCAAGGTCAGTGCTGTATGTATCCTGTAATAAGCCCAGTGAACAACATATGATATTTGATTTAAGCCAGAGGGTTGGCATATTACAGGACAATAAATAACATATAATATTTGATTTAAGCCAGAGGGTGGGCATATTACAGGACAATAAATAACATATAATATTTGATTTAAGCCAGAGGGTGGGCATATTACAGGACAATAAATAACATATAATATTTGATTTAAGCGAGAGGGTGGGCATATTACAGGACAATAAATAACATATAATATTTGATTTAAGCCAGAGGGTTGGCATATTACAGGACAATAAATAACATATAATATTTGATTTAAGCCAGAGGGTGGGCATATTACAGGACAATAAATAACATTAACATATAATATTTGATTTAAGCCAGAGGGTTGGCATATTACAGGACAATAAATAACATATAATATTTGATTTAAGCCAGAGGGTTGGCATATTACAGGACAATAAATAACATATAATATTTGATTTAAGCCAGAGGGTTGGCATATTACAGGACAATAAATAACACTCATTCTTTTGAACAGCAATAAAAGTGTGTGGGTTTATTACCAGATTTGGGCTTATTGCAGGAGAAATATGGTTACATATTACCGTAAAGTGAAATCCATGTTATAAGTGCTGTTATTTTTTGTACACGTTGATTAAACCTCTGAGAATACTCTGAAAATGGATATAAAATGTTAATTGTGTTGGGTTCAGGAGTAAGTTGTTATAGAATCAGCTTTTATATTGATGACATTATTTCTGTAGCCATCTTCAAGTGCAACTTAGAATTTGATTTTTGAGAAGTTCACCCTTATCAAAAGCTCTGTTGGCTACATTTAAATTTAGAAGGTTGAACAAATTTCATAAACCAATTACTTTGTACTGTGCCATCATCCATGTGTTGATCTCATTTTTACAAGAAATCATATTATTCATCCACTTTAATTACGTCCAGTTATAAGAAATGCTGATGTTCAGGCCACATGTTGATCATGTTGACTTCTGCCAGTCAGGGGAGATTTAAGATTTGCTGAAGCTCATTTATACTTAGCCAATCAGAGAAGGTCTTTCAGGATTGGCTGGAGATGTTTTTACATGTATGTTTTGGTTTAAATTTTGTTGTAAATAGAAACTACTTTAAGTGCTTATCACAAAACCAATTGATTGGTAGGAAGTAGTGTTTTGTGCATGGCTATCAGCAATACTATATTGAAGAGATGAAGACAAGCTATGAAGATTATATAATTTTTGGTGGAAGTTTGCTAGGGTCTCACTGTGGAAAGCACCAGAGTGCCCAGTGTGAACCCATGTGGTGGGGTAGGCAACCACTATACCTTTTCACTTTTGTTCCTGAAATAAAACAGCAAATGTCAAGGTGAAAGGAGAGTGCTTACCACTGCACCACCCAGCCACCTAAATTAAATATACAATTATAATTAGTTTAAGTGTGTATTTCATTTCCTTTCTGTGAAACTAGAGCAATGGGGCTTACAACCCACAAGTAATCAGCACTGTGGGACAGGAAATGAAAGCATTTTCTACAAGTTATCTTAACTTTCTACATTACCTGTTATAAGTAGTTTTTGACTTTTTGTTTTGATTTTTTAAAAACAAGTGAGTTATGGAAAAGTTTGGAAGTTATGACATTTTTATACCAAAACATTATTGTGAGAGAAATAGCTATCACTGTTATTGGGAACTACTTCTTATATACTGAACAATCTTCATATAGAATAACACTGGACAAAAAGGACTATTAATTGCTAAGGTGAATATTTGAATGGCATGTCATGGAATATGTCCTCAATGAGAAAAAATTCAGAACAGAAAAAGACACATTTATCTTCAGACTGTAGAACGTTTGATATGAAATGTCAAACCTTTTTATATAGGTTGTTCGTATTTGGAGGGGAAAAACACTATATGGTCCCATTCAATTTGAAGCTATCTTTGAATTAGTGTTTCCCTGTATATAGGGTTTCATGTTTACTGGCCCTACATGTATGTACAGATTCTATCAATACAAACCAAAGAGATCTTCAAGAATTATCTCCCTTGGGGAATTTTTGCCTGTTTAGAAGAATTAGCAAAGCCTATAATGAACTACAATTTTCTTTATTGAAATCTGTTGTGCTTTAGAGTAAATGTATAATATCCATAATTCTATACAATTTTTAAGGCTTAAAAATGTTTAAATCTTAGTGGAAAGATCTTTAGCTCTGTAAATACTGTTCTTCAGACCTCATTTTCAAAAACTTTCAGTATTTGACTGAAAATTTCTCCATGGATAAGTGTAACTAGAAATGAGAAAAATTTTCTTCTTATGAAGGAATCATAATAGCTTAGTTAGTTAAGCAACCTCTGGTAAGGATCTAAGGTTCGTTTTCAACACTTCCTAACTGTAGCAGTTAATTTTTCCTAGGAAGCTGATCATGAGAAAGGTTGTGTTCTTGAGCAAGACTTTTTAGCCCAACTGCTCTGGATGGTGTGCCATGGGCCTCGTTTGTGCAGTGATGTAGCCACTGGTTTTTTGCTTCTAAAAGACCCTAGCCACAGTTTCATGAATTTTCCTCAATCTAACACTACCCTTAGTTACAGTTAAGACAATTTTCTAAGTTTTTCCTTATCTTAGGTAATGGTAATTAAGGTTTTTTATATTAAGTAAAATTAGATAGTCTATCCTATGTAAGTTTTAGCATTTCCTCTTGTTACAAAGATCTGTGAATCAAGGGTGAAACCTTTGTGAACAGTGAACATTATGACCACCTAGATTTCTCTGTTAATACATTATTTCCAAGGTTTTCTGTGTCTTATTCAGTATTTCAGTTATAAAATCAATTTTCTTGCAAAGAAATTTGGAATAAAAATGTCTAGATCAACATATTCACTTGATGTCACATGTTTATTAATGATATAGAATGCATATCAGTAGCAAGTTGACCTTTATCCTATGTATATGATCCTTGACACAATATGTTAATGACATATGATACACTGACAGGGAATGTTTTTTGATATTGGGCTCACGAATTTAGAGGCTCTAAGTCTGTTTTTGAAGTGCTTTCTACATCAGTAGTCTGTAAGATAAAGAATGCTAAACGTTAATTATTTTTTAGTTTGTTTTGTACACATGACAATTGATTGTAAAGTCCATGAATTACATGCAAGGAACTTCATTGATAAAACCATAATATCATGGCTTTGATATTCCATTTATTTGGAAGAAAAAAGCTAATGTAGATATTTGGAATGGAGTGGTCATGTTAACTGAGTCTGGAGTGAATGAAGAGATGAGTGACAACCATGGTGTTACCGTAGAAACAGCATCTTCTATGCAGACTGGTTAAGAGGTGTAAGTGTTTATAATGAGTGAGTTTAAATGTTTACAGATTTTATTGTGAGTGAAGACATGTAAATAAAATCTTTATATGATCTTTAATGGTTTTCTTTATTACAAAACAAATATCACATTATGATGCTACACTGTAAAGCTATTTGTGATATAATATCATGAATATGTTAGTGCTATGTCTTTTGCATAAAACAAATGTAACACAACAAGGCGTGAACTCTTGCTTCATATTTGATAACATAGTTTATTAACAGCATCAAAGTTCTATATACAAACGCATCGTGATCGTATAGTGTCTTCTGTTACAATGGCCTAGTAATCTCTGTAAGTTAATCAAGTACAACTTTCTAATGTCTGACATTACTGGCCTCTTGCTGTCGTCTGTCCCGAGGCACCATCATAGGCACTCAGGGTTTCTCATCACTGCCCAACTCTTAGCTGGTACTGATAACTCCCCAGCTCCCAACTCGTACCTTACTCGACTCTCTTCTTACTCTTCTCCACTCACCCCTCTGTACTATAAAACCCTGTCTTTTATCCTCTCTGTAAACTAGATATATCCAATCACTAACTGCCCCGTGTGTCGGGTACCTGATTATCTTGTGTTAGTGTTACCTAACCCTATCGAGATGTTTACTTGAGATCCTTATGGTATAATTCTAATCTGTTCGGTAATTCTCTCTTCCAGCTTGTACCTCTCCTATCAATAGTCTACCGGCAAGACTATTGATAATGTGAGATAGCACACCCGTAACGTTAATCCTCCCCCACGATAACATTGCCCTATTCCCGAACATGAATATACAGGTTTCTAACATAACATTACTTCTAAAACCAAATAACCCCAATAATTATTAGAAGTCAATTAGTCCATTACATAATCAGTTAAATGCCCATGACTGTTACACAAAGAATATTTCGAAAGTGAGAATGTAAACGTGTGTGATAGAAAAAAGTTACTTTCTTATAAAGACAGACCTATTAATAAGCTGATGGATAACATTCCAGACAGAAAGGAGATTCACAAGAAGGAAATAATCAGGATGTCTTTGTTCACCCATTGGTTGAATGTCCAGGTGTTGTACTAGCATTTTTAAAAGCATAAATACATGTAAATAGCAACAGCACTGAAAAGCTCCGATTTATGGACACATAAAAAGGTATAGAATAAGATGATTTATATCTGAAAAACATCTATGACACTGTCAAATGATGGCAGTATTGTCTGTTTTAGATACACGGAACATCTATAACACTGTCAAATGATGGCAGTATTGTCTGTTATAGATACACGGAACATCTATAACACTGTAAAATGATGGCAGTAATGTCTGTTATAGATACACGGAACATCTATAACACTAAAATGGTGGCAGTAATGTCTGTTGTAGATACACGGAACATCTATAACACTGTAAAATGATGGCAGTATTGTCTGTTATAGATACACGGAACATCTATGACACTGTAAAATGATGGCAGTAATGTCTGTTATAGATACACGGAACATCTATAACACTGTAAAATGATGGCAGTATTGTCTGTTATAGATACACGGAACATCTATGACACTGTAAAATGATGGCAGTAATGTCTGTTATAGATACACGGAACATCTATAACACTGTAAAATGATGGCAGTAATGTCTGTTATAGATACACGGAACATCTATAACACTGTAAAATGATGGCAGTAATGTCTGTTGTAGATACACGGAACATCTATGACACTGTAAAATGATAGCAGTATTGTCTGTTATAGATACACGGAACATCTATGACACTGTAAAATGATGGCAGTATTGTCTGTTATAGATACACGGAACATCTATAACACTGTAAAATGATGGCAGTAATGTCTGTTATAGATACACGGAACATCTATAACACTAAAATGATGGCAGTATTGTCTGTTATAGATACACGGAACATCTATAACACTGTAAAATGACGGCAGTAATGTCTGTCATAGATACACGGAACATCTATAACACT